AGCAGAGTTCAAGGAAGATGGCCCCGCCATGCCTGCACAGCCTTGTCAATGCGATTTCACTGGAGCACCCGCTTCCTTTTATCGCCGAGACACTCCATTTGAGCTGGTGGAAAATGTCATAACTGTTCAGGTGGCCTGTCAGTTTCACGCTGCATAGTTTAGTCATGAACAAAAAGCATCCATCTTCATTTTCTGATGTTGCATTTCTTTGTCATTCAGTATTCAGATGGGAAATATGTCTGTCAGTTAAAGTGTAATCAACCTGATAGTGTGCTAAGAGGCTGAAGGCATGAAAGTTCATATTAAATTCATGGCATCATGAATATCTGTTCAGCTGGAGGCTGTAGATGTGTGTTAACACCACCAAGCAGTGTTTGGTTTCAAATACTCATCCCGTTTCAATGCACTTCAGTTGCCGTGTTTATCTGACCTGATTTGGACATCAACTTTAATAAAGACTATTGGCGTGAAAAAGTAAACACGTATAAGAGCCTGCCCCTTGCACATGCTGACAAATCCAAAAAAGATTAGAAGTCTAGATTAGAGGTCTGCACGGGCTTTAAAGTGAATCAGTTTTCATAACGAACAGCCAAACTTTGTCACGCTGCATAGTTTAGTCATGAACAAAAAGCATCCATCTTCATTTTCTGATGTTGCATTTCTTTGTCATTCAGTATTCAGATGGGAAATATGTCTGTCAGTTAAAGTGTAATCAACCTGATAGTGTGCTAAGAGGCTGAAGGCATGAAAGTTCATATTAAATTCATGGCATCATGAATATCTGTTCAGCTGGAGGCTGTAGATGTGTGTTAACACCACCAAGCAGTGTTTGGTTTCAAATACTCATCCCGTTTCAATGCACTTCAGTTGCCGTGTTTATCTGACCTGATTTGGACATCAACTTTAATAAAGACTATTGGCGTGAAAAAGTAAACACGTATAAGAGCCTGCCCCTTGCACATGCGGACAAATCCAAAAAAGATTAGAAGTCTAGATTAGAGGTCTGCACGGGCTTTAAAGTGAATCAGTTTTCATAACGAACAGCCAAACTTTTAAAATATGCTGTATTTCACGATTGCATGCAACGGTCAGTAGGCTAAACAAATACATGTAAAGAAACAGATTCATCAAGGCTCATGGCCAGTTCAGCACACAAGGCAAAATAAATAAAACACTTACCAGTTATGAAACTTTATGAACAACAGGTGCAACGGTCACATAAATTCCGCCGAGTTTAATGGTTGTAACAAGATAATAGCTCTTTCACTGTGCAGTTTTCCTTGTAAACTGCAAGAAGTTTTCCTAATTGCGGTAATCGCAAACATTGCTCACAACTTCCTAGCTAATGTGCACGTGCCGTTTGCCGTGTTGACAGGGGCCACTAGATCAGGCACAAGAGCAAAACAAGTTTAGTTTTAAATACAGCCTATCCAACAAATGAGACGTACACATTATATGTAAGGGATAGTCCGCAGCTAGCATGTGCCTTGAAAGATTTTAATGTACAACATGGAGGTAAAGGGAAAATATTACGGTCATTTTCGTCAGTTATGGCTTTGATCACTTTAAATCACACACACACACACACACACACACAGAGAGATGAAGTAGAGCGGTAAGATCACATTTATTTGAATTATTATATCATTCATTTTAATTAACGAGAGCAACTGAATTAATTGCGGAGAAATATAACGCAGCGGGTCAGTATCAAAACTATTTTATAGAGCTGCACCGATTGCAATTTTCTTGGTCTCTTCCGATTTCTCGTTAGTGTGATCTGCCGATACTGATTTTTGCCGATTCCGATTTTCTTTCCAAGAACTATAATTGACCGCATATACAAACAAATCTACTTTTCTTCAACGCAAAGTTTTATTTTCATTAAAAAAAAAGCACAAGTAAAAAGTCAGTAATAAAAAAAAATATATATATAAAAATTTTTAAAAAAAGCCAAACGACAGCACAAATAAATGCAACCAAATAAAAAGAGCTATGAAACCAAGTTTTTCAGGTTAAGTACGTTTTTATTCAGGTAAGAAATACTACAAAAATTAAAGAAATCAATGTAAAAACACATCCAGTGTTATTTTACATTTGATTACTTTAATTTCTGTAGTCTTCATTGTAAAAAATTAAATCCAGATTAATGCTTACCATTAAAGTTATAAAACAATCAGTCAAGAGCAGAAAATTATTTTCTTTGTCTTTTGTGCTTTGATTAACATGACAGACAGCAGCAGGAATATTGGACTGCGGTCCCTTTAAGAGTTGGTCCAATAGGCATTTTGACAATTTTGTATGCATTTGAACTTTTTAGCACAGTTAGCCACTCATTTTGGTATTTGTGGCTCACAAGCTGATTGAGACTGAGCGCAGATTGTGCACTCCACTAATATAGATCAGTGGCGGTGCGCGCGCGTTTGGTAGAAGCGCAAAACCTGCGGGAATGACTAAACTAATGCACAACTAATGCGTGTTTGTGAGCGTCAATGAAATCAGTGTAGCCTACTGCATGTAGTTTTACTTTAGCTGCAAACCCAAAGCTAGTCATTAAACAAACCCGAACCAGGGTATTTCGGCACCGGTCGGGCTCGGGTCGGGTAGCAGACCTCTATAGCCGATATCAAGTTGAAGTCAATTCACACTCACACTATGACATTTGGCAGCTTGGGGCTGTGTTTTGGATTCAAGGAGCCTGGGACAAAAATCTAGACTTTGTACAATGGTCTCCCCTTGCCACAAGTCCTGGGACAATGTTCCCAGCTGTTCCTCCCTGAGATGGCCCTGCATTCAGCTGAATGTTTGATAATACATTTTGCACACGCAATAAAATTCATGTACTGAATGCACAAAACAGAATACACAAGTTCACATTTGGTCCCAACCAAAGTATCAGCAGCCAACCCTAATGAAATTGTTTTGTCACTCTACAATATAAGCAGATCTATTATACAACTGTTCACAGAAACATAATCCCGGAGAACTCTTATTTACTAATGAAAAAGCAGTAATATAATTCTACCCCTCAGAGACATTCTAAACTAAAGATATGTGGCGTATACTGCAGGTCTACACATAGATTGTGTTTAAAGTAAGCTCCAGAGATTTCCATGGAATAAGAGCACAGCATCTCTCACACCCTTTGCATGTTCATTTATTCAATATTTTGGCTCGTTTGATAATGAATAGCATGTGGCACTCCAAACTACAATAGACATGCCAATGCAGATCTTTTCCCACTGGGAAAGCAGGGGGGAAAGCAAACACTGAATGAAAATAACTACTTAACTGTTCAAAGTTCCAAAAGCAAAACAAACTGTCTTTTTTATATCAATGAATGCGGTGTAAAATGTAGAAGAAAACATTTTCCATATTTTGTTAATGTCCAAGACCATGTATTCGATCTCATTTTGGTGCAATTCATCTGGAACTTTGTCAAAAAAGAATTTTTTTTTTTTTTAAAGTTAATTTAAAAAAAAATTAAATTACTAAACCTAAAACAAAATTAAAAGCTAAAAGAAATATTAAAATTATTTTAAATTATAATAAACATGGCATAACCACATAAAATTATTAAAACTTAATTAAACCTGAAAATATAAAAATAAAAGCCAATTCAAATTATAAAAAAAAATATGGACATAGCACTGTTGGAATACACTGGTTCACATGCTCTGTACTAAAGAACGTTTGAAAGTATTACATCACAAGTCCAGTTACAACGCAGCGCAGCTCTAGGGTTTGTGGTTGAAAGAAGCGGCTGATGCCCTTGGGGGCTCAGTGATGCATTGCTGCTGACTACAGGGGTGGGAGAGAAGCTCACGGCAGCCCTGCAACAAACCTCTGCTGAGAGTTGTTTCCATGCTTAGCCCAGCAGGAACCAGCACGCGCTCACGTTCACGCCTCCGCCAGCTCAGGAAACCAGGTTGAGCAGGAATACCAAAGCCATTTCATTAATTATTGCAACCTTGCACTAGAGTTGCCATGACAAACAACAACACGTATGATTCCTAGCACAATACATAAATTATGTCACATTTATGAGACCCTATTAGTGCAATTTAACAATGCAGGAACAATTAAATTCACATCCATATTGGCGGACTCATGAACGGAGGACAAAAGCATCCAGAGAGTAATTATAGTGAAACGTGACATAGCGGTGGCGGCCTTGTCCTTCTGCTGTGTGTAGGGTACACAAATACACGCACACCCACACACACACTAAAAAAGGGTTATGTATTGCACAAGCAACTTTTTCGGCAATCCAGTTCATCTACAGGTGTTGCCATGACAACCAATCATTTATCCTTCAGATCCCCGGCTCGTGCCCATGGTGAGGAATCGTCATAATGCCACAGAGAGAGATACTCCAAAAACCACTGACCGTTCTCACATCAACACCTCAGCATCAAAACTCCTTGTGTTTTTGTAGCGAAAAACACAAGGAGACATTCCCAGCATATGAAAATCAAGCACATTCTTGCCATTTGACCCTTTTCCCTGCACCCACTAACACTCCCACACGCAAAACACACACACACACACACACACACACACCTGGGCTATTACTCATGTAACTTCTGACTAACCACTGACGCCCATGTTCACGTTCACTATATGGGCGAAAGCAAACGGCATGCATATCAACATCCATTAACATACTCACACTGGGCATATTGGTCACTACGGCAACGGCTAACAGAGTCTTGTAGCCAAGCGACGCCAATACTCAATTTCCAAATGCTTTTCAGCCCTCATGTTCTCACACTTTGCTCAGGGTGCTGTTCTTCTGCTAAAACTGCTCCAGCTGCAAGAGCTCTTTCATACAGGGAAGCAATAAGTCATTAGAAGCAATGGCATGTCCCACATGCATTCAGGCTGCCCCAAATAAAACGGGCCTCTGTCACTTGACAGAGTGTGCGCTACTACAGGAGTCAGAGAGTGCACTGTGGAGGAGGAGAAGAAATGGAGATTGAATGAAAGTGTGAACAGACCTGTCTTTGTTGCAGGAGTATCCTTCTGGCCTGTGGATCCAGTGGAAGAGAAAAATAAAAAATAAAAAAACAAAAGTGAGAGACGGAGAGGCAGACAAACAAACAAACATGGAGACACAAAGAAAGTGGAAGTGTCAGTAATGTTATATTGTTGTACACATACAGTAAGGAATAGATAGAAATCAATGGAGCAAATGCAAATTGATTTTGTGCAGGGAAATGATTTGAATGATCACAAATAAACCAACTTTTTTTTTTTAAATAAAAGATCCACTTGAAATCCTCAATTACAATTGTTTTTCCCTCATTTACAAATTCATGCCAATCATGGATAGAAAAGGGGTGGTAAAAAAATAAATCAACCGTTATGTGAAAAGTTTAACTAAAAATATATATAAATATTCTTGGCCTGTCAGTACAGTATCATGAGGTAAAAAAATAAAATAAATAAATAAATATTTTTTTATATGCCCAAAACCAAGACTACTGATATTAAAATTTAACTACCATTCATTTTGTGATTCCAGAAGATTTAATAAGTGCATGATCTTCAATAAGAAACAATATTTATTGTTTTATTGAACGTTTATGCATTTTAATTTAGACATTAATGACAATTAATACAAATGTATTAATTTAAAATTACATAGACTATCAATGGAAATCCATTGGATAAAACTGATATGGGCTTTCTTAAACCAAGTGCTAACCAGAATACATCTAATTTTAATATACAGTTATGTCGAGCAGGACTTTGAACCAATGAGATTTCACAGTGGCAGAGCTACCCAGAAACCAACCGAACCAAGTTTTAATCTTAGAAATATGCAAATAAGAGCAATAATCCAGGGTTTACAAGTGTTAAATATTATTGTTAGGAATGACTCTGGGTTAATAATATTGAACAGGTCATGTAACACCTTCTGTTAGGTTGCGGAGTAGACTGACAAACCATTGGTTTTTGGCACCAGTTCATGGCAAAACACCCTCTCCATTTAAACTAAATTAGGTTAAAATTAATTAAGATTTTGATAACTAATAAAACAGACTATCCTACAAAGCAGCAGGTGTCGGGTTTGACGGACACGCGGGCTCCTCCATAGACATTCAATTATTCAATCATAATTGCATAAACTATCAGTCAGTCCTCCAACACCCAGTGTATTACTCACAGACTCACGTCTACGACAGTAATTGCCACCTTCAATGGACAAATGTAATTAACACCGGCCATGCTAATTATTCCGAGAAACAATCCCACCTCAACAGCTCCCCCACAGCAGTAGTTACACTTGTTCGTTAGCTGAAAGCATTACACCAGAGAGAGTGCAAGATTGTGATCACTCAAGTTGGGTCATTTGGATTCGCAGGCATCTGTCTGATGGGACAGGAACAGCTACACAGATCTAGAGCTCACATGAAAAGGTGATGCTGTAAACGACCCTTGTGAACCCTAAAGAAAAATGGCAAATGACATGTTGGTGTGCCATCTGCTCAACATCAAGGGAGGGCTGGTGAGGGGGTGAACGAGGGATTGGAAAATTTGGCAATAGTGTAAAGAGAAAGAGCGAATAAAAAAAAATAATCAAATCTATCAGTAAAACAATCCATCTCCCCTCAGTGTCATGCGACTTTTCATTGTTTCAGGTAATGTTGATGGCAAGCAAAAGCTAGCAGCCCTAAATTTACTCAGGTGTAAAGTCAACATCAACCAGATGCGGTTTACGTGACTGCTAGTGAGTGCACGCATTTATCATGCGAATCATCTGATGACACCAAGGGAGAGGTGCGGAATCTACTTTTCTTCATGTCATTTTATTTATTTTTTAATAAAAGCAGCTATGGGAGCTGTTAAGTTTCTAAAGGCGTTTATGTAATATTTTTCACAACATTCTAGCAAAAGCTAGCAGCCCTAAATTTACTCAGGTGTAAAGTCAACATGTCCACATCAACCAGATGCGGTTTACGTGACTGCTAGTGAGTGCACGCATTTATCATGCGAATCATCTGATGACACCAAGGGAGAGGTGCGGAATCTACTTTTATCTTCATGTCATTTTATTTATTTTTTAATAAAAGCAGCTATGGGAGCTGTTAAGTTTCTAAAGGCGTTTATGTAATATTTTTCACAACATTCTAGTTTAAGAAAAAAAAAAAAAAAAAAAAAAGTCATTTTTTTCTTTTACTACAAATACTAGTGGTGTTTTGGTCAAACAAATCAGTTTATTTTAACAAATTTCAAGGCAGGGGGAAAAAAAAATGTATTCTACCAAAAGCAGCGCATACAGTACAACACTCAACCAAAGGCATACTTTTTGACATACTGATAAGCACAGATTACTATAATATTTGAGTCAGAATGAGACGGTCTCATAAAACTGAATCTCATGAATTAACTAAATAAACTGGTACATTTTAATTGAACAAAATGAGCGGTGTTGGATGAGGATCTACTGACCGACAATAACTGAACCAAAAGGGCATGCTGATCATTCCATTCGACACAAGTCAATCTTGTTTAACAAGGACAGTCCCAAGATAAGAATGTGTACAATGACTGATGGTGACAAAATTGAAATGTCTTACTGTTAGTATTTTTCATAGCTTGATAAAAGTAGTTGACAAAATGGAGTGGGGGAAAAATGACATGCAAAATTTAATTAAGAATTATTAAATAAAATAAAGAATTACGTACTGGTGTAATTAAGGATACACTATAAAAATAAATAAAATCACAACTGTTCTCATTTAAGAAATTCCACATTTCAAAATACTAAATAAACTGGTACATTTTAATTGAACAAAATGAGCGGTGTTGGATGAGGATCTACTGACCGACAATAACTGAACCAAAAGGGCATGCTGATCATTCCATTCGACACAAGTCAATCTTGTTTAACAAGGACAGTCCCAAGATAAGAATGTGTACAATGACTGATGGTGACAAAATTGAAATGTCTTACTGTTAGTATTTTTCATAGCTTGATAAAAGTAGTTGACAAAATGGAGTGGGGGAAAAAATGACATGCAAAATTTAATTAAGAATTATTAAATAAAATAAAGAATTACGTACTGGTGTAATTAAGGATACACTATAAAAATAAATAAAATCACAACTGTTCTCATTTAAGAAATTCCACATTTCAAAATTATTTTATGCAAGGACAATTCATGAGAATGTCAACTATGCAGTTTATTTTACATCATGTAGTTTCCCAATTTATTCTATTCATCATATACACCAACACATGCTCTACATTAAGAAAACCTCAAGAACCTGCTCTCAGAAGGAAGTTAAAATTCCTAATATTCATTCCAATAATTCCAAATTATGTTAACTTTTTCCATTAAAACTACAAAAAGACCTATTGTAGCACAGAGGTTGCACACGTCCATTTATTCAGCAACCACAATTGCAATTTAGCCTCAGCAAATAGTGACTAAATCAAATCATTGAACAAATCTTTTTGTTGAGCAGAAGCAAACGATTCAAATCAATGGTATAAATCAAAATTGCCACTCCTAACAAATACTACAGTTAAACCATAATTACTATGCAAGAAGCAAAGTACGCTATCTGCCCTCAAGGAAAAGAAGAAATAAGCCTCAGATGAGAAAGCAAGCACTCAATTTATCTCCGCAAACAGAGGGCATTCAGGTTTCTCTCCGTCGGAAAGGAGAGCAAGAGAAACAAATATAAGAGGTGTGCATATTGGAGAAACAAAACAGAAAGTGAGCAACACAAAAAGGGTGCAGTGTATTCTCTCTCTCTTTTTCTGACTCTATGCTTCTCTCTCCCACACAAGTTGATCCACAATCTGACTCCACACTGAATTAAATCACAACCTCTCCTACACAGTGGCCCGATCACACAACGAATCTCCACACCACACCAGCCTCAAAAACTATAGGAGATGCTGTTCTGCAGTGCTCGACACTGATCCAATCCACCAAATGTTAATCTCCACACGCATCTGTATGCACCGTGCTCTGTGATGAGGCCGGTTAAAGTGCACACTTACAGGCAAGAGCGATCAGAGGTGCAATGGAGAGGTCGATTCCTCAGCAATACAGGGAGGGAGACAAACAACTTACAGCGTATGGAGGAGTGGGCCAAAATCCCTGCTGCAGTGTGTGCAAACCTGGTCAAGAACTACAGGAAGCGTCTGACCTCTGTAATTGTAAACAAAGGTTTCTGTACCAAATATTAAGTTCTATTTTTCTATTGTATCAAATACAATTTCAAATTTTTCAAATACAATAAAAAAAAAAAAATTTCATGCAATAAAATGGAAATTAATGAAAAAAAAAATCATAATGTTATTTTCTGGATTTTTTTTTTGATTCGGTCTCTCACAGTTGAGGTGTACCTACGATGAAAATTACAGATCTCTCCATTCTTTGTAAGTGGGAAAACTTGAAAAATCGGCAGTGTATCGAATACTTATTTGCCCCACTGTAACTGTCAGCAGCACAAGGAGTGGCCCACTACACTTCTGTACCATCCCTCGCGCTCTCTCTGGAATTGTATGGAGAGTGTTGACGCAGCACATGCCGGGAATGATATTGACAGTCTTGAGGCTACTGACAGCTCACTGTGGAAATGTTTTCAGAGATTTCATTTTAAAACCATAATGAATGTCATGCCAAATCAACAGGTTTGTGCACCATTCACAAATGAATTGATGACTTTTTCAATTGCAATTCAAATCCAAAATGAGGTAGTAAAAAGGATAAAGAACCGCAATTCAAACGTAACTTGAATGGAAGGAGGTAGAATTCAAATGAATTGCAAAGCCCATGACTGTAACTTAAGTAAAAAACAAAGACAAACTTTGAATGTCTATTAGAAAAAGCCTACATAGATCTACTGATTGTCTACTTAAAATTAAAAAATAAATAAATATATATTATATATCTTAATCTCCAGAAAACGTCACCGGCATAGTCCAATCTCTTTCGATATCACAAAAGTCATTACATTTGTGACAGATTTAGCATGCCAATTCAATCCCAGGTTCTCATGACATTAGCCTGTCACTCTGCCAAAGGCCCAGCAGCACGAGTCTGTCCAGATAAGAGTCGGTCCGCTTATGTAATGCTCAGGCTCAATGGCACAGCCAGCTGCCTGTCCGATGGCCTGGAAACAGTCCTATTGTGACAGACTGTTGCACTCAATTTCAGGTTTGTAAGACAGAAGGTGAGTGAACAGCAGAGATACCCTCTCAAAAGTGCTTTCTTTTTTTGGGGTTCTTGACTTATAAAGCCAATAGTTCTGCACCAATATTACTAGTGTAAATGTAAATGCTGTTAAAAAAAACTAGTTAATGTAAAAACTCAAACGGTGTACAAATATTCATAAGTATGTGTATTGTGTAGTTCAAATCTTCATCCAGTGTCAGTCAATATTGCAGTGCACACAGTTGTTTACTCCTACTTTCGTTAAAGGGGTCATATGATGCTGCTAAAAAGAACATGGTGTATTTGGTGTAATGAAATGTGTTTATGCAGTTTAAAGTTCAAAAAACATTTTCCACATACTGTACATTGTTTCTCCTCTATGCCCGCCTTTTTGAAACACGTCAATTTTTACAAAGCTCATCGGTCTGAAAAAGCGAGGTATGCTGTGATTGGCCAGCTATCCAGTGCGTTGTGATTGGCTGAATACCTCAAGCGTGAGACAGAAATATTACGCCCCTCACCATACTGTTGATGCCATGTCAGGCCAGAGTGACGAGAAAACATGAAAACCCATTACAAACGAGGCATTTGTTGCATCCAGTGGGGACATAATTACTGATTATAATGTCTTCTACGGTCTTTTTACGCATTGCGCTGCATCGCGCCGCGTAAACATAAAACTGTCTGTATTTGTGATCGGAGAAACGACAAACAACAAGTGCAAGTCTACTGCCCAAAACTCGCGTTTGAATCAAGAAAAAAAAAATTTGGAAAGAACTTTACAGATCTTCTTTATGCACCAAGAGCTTGTAACACTCCAAAGAGAAAGGAAAAATTGAAAAATCGCATCACATGATCCCTTTAAAGGATAGTTCACTCAAATTCTGTCAGCATCTACACTACACACCCTCATGTTATTCCAATCCTGTATGACTTTCTTCTGTGGGACACAAAAGATATTTTGAAGAATGTTTAACTGTCCATACAATGAAACTCAATGGAGTCCAAAGAACACTAGAACTTAGAAACAAAATAAATATGACAGTGACAATTTTCATTCTTAAGTGAACGGTTCCTTTCAAATATATTAAAATTACAATAAATTGTGGTCTATTTAGAGCACACGCACCAACATAGTCTTAAAAACTGTTTTTGCATGCAAACACACACTCTTGATTGACAGTTTTCCAAACAGCCAGCATGGGGGCTGTGGAAACGGTTTTCTACAGTAGATCCTCAGCTATGCAGTAAAAGAGCCCTCAGGCTTGTACTTACTGTCTCTGCAGAGAGCTTCTCAAACTGGTAGCGGTGCAGTCTCGTTCCCGGTCTCTGTTCCTCTCTTGCTCCGTGGCATTGGCTCCAGCTGACAGGCTTTGGCCAAGCCTCATGTGAGTGTTGGCATTGACACGACGGTCCCGTGGTGGCACGGGTGGTGGTGGGGGCGGGGGAGCCGGAGCCAGGATGGGTATCGGGATGGGCCCGCTGTTGTGAGTCTTATAAGCATAGACTTTGGTGGAGGTTGCAGCGTTGGAAGTGGGTGGCTGGACGGGAGGTGGAGGTGGGGGCAGGCAGGGCTGTCGGTCCAACCTCAGGTCTTTGTTCTCCTGGCTGAGCCGGTCCAGCTGCACTTCAAGCTCCTCAATGCGCCGCCGTTGAGTTTCCAGAAGCTTCTGTTGGCTCTCGATGATGTTGTTAAGCTCCAGCAGGTATTCCACTGCCCGGTTAGGACTTTCCGGGCTGCCCTGCCCAGCATCCATTCTGATGGACACCTGCGTGACAGTCACCGTCTGCCGGGACAAGCTTCTGGGATCACCCCGTAAGAGGAAGCTCTCCCCCCCCCACGTGGAGCGGGTGGGGGGGAGAGATGGAAATGTGTTGGCGTTAGAGTTGGGTAACCAGGCTAAAATAGTCAGTGGTTTTAATCTGAGATACCCTCAAAGTTAAATTCAGTTTTGGAAGTCACAGTACTGGAAAGGGATGAAGAAATTCCATATTGGGAATTTGTATTCACATTCAAAGGATGATAATGTTAATTTGTTTGTTGGTTTACGATGGGTGTGAGCATGTGTTTGTGTATGTGTGCATTGCTATTCTTCCATCAAGCATGCCATTTTTCCACTGCCACCAAAGAATCGTGGAATTGAGATCAAAGCCAGTTTGCAGAAATTAACTTCATCAGTCATTCAGCCAGATGTTACTCATTTGGTAATAAAAATGAACAAAAAAAAACTAATTTGATAGTCACAGGACATTCCAAGCACCTCAAGTCCAAGGTAAGGATGCGACACAAAAAGCCAAGTCAGCGAATATCCTTTAAACAGGAAGGAAAGCCGATTTCCTTTTCGCCCATTTCTCTGGTGTGCATCCTCTTCCGTTTCTCTTTCAAATGTGGAGTTGAAGCACTGCAGCGGTTTTCTGGCCGTCTATTCATGACTCATATTCCAGACTGAAGTGTTTGGGAGTCATTCTATTCCAGAGGCGATTGTGATGAAAAGGTAGAGAGAGAGAGAGAGGGGGGGAGAGCGAGCGAGAGAGAGAGGGACCAAAGTTCTTCTGATAAATCCACTGCAATTCTAAATTGGCTTCTGGGAGGTGTGCGCATGTCTTTCAGAACAACCCAGTTTCCCCCTTCTCTCTTTGCACCTTCATTACAAAACCAAGATCTCTTCATTCAAGCCATGAATATAGCTTATCATTATGCAACTTAAGATGGCATAAAATGTCCCACGCATGCATTTCGACTCATTGCAAAGTCCGTTCATCACAATATTTGGTTATTTCATAACACACTATTTCTTTGCACCTTCATTCTATTATTTCTAACCCTAATTTCACTTCAGTGTAAAATAATCGCATCTATCATTAATGTTTCATGCACGCATTTGTCGTTTACTCACGAGCGGTTTCACACTTATTGCCCAGACGGTCCTCGAAGACAATCGCGCATCTCCAACGCGTACAGCTGCGCGATGAGGCGATGTGTAGAACGCGTCCCAAAGAGATGGCATCGAAGTCGATTACATCTCCAAATTAGACGTTCCAACGCAAAAAAAAAAATCGGGGATTTTTATGAGTTTTAAACGAACAAATGATTATTGGTTTTCTGTTGCGGTTGCTCGCAACGCGTTCCTCCCCATCAACTAAATTTCGAGAGGAAATACAATCCTTGCAGCAGGATGTCCACTGCCTGTCGAGTTTTATGTCGTTTTGTGTAATCAGCGCAAAGGCGCTCCGGTCCCGAAACAGCTGAGACGCGCAATACAGCGTCCGCGTGCTCGTCCACACAGTGTCAAGCCGATGCGCGCGAGATCATTAAATAACACCCATGCTGATGGAGCACAGCTGTCACTATCATTTTTAAGACAATTTATGGAGACTGCGTTGCATGACAACTAATTAAACTACCCAATACGGTTATGTCTCCCAGTATGTGACAGATGTCATTGATGCCAGTGACTAAAGATATTCGTTCATTAATGAACTGCTCACATGTTGAACGGGCATGCTTTCCCTTCTGATGCTCCTTGGACAGCCCTGCACCTGGCGCCCCTCGCCGCCATTCGGTTTCACCGCAGTGTCCACATGAGTCTCGATCGCTAGTTTCGCAGCATGTCGATGATGCCCAGCGCTTCTCGCCGTGGTAAAGTGTGATGCAGGGGTTAAATTCATTTGAGTGAGTCAGAGGGAATATCTTTTTTTTCTTTTCAATCGAAGCGCTGACGTTAGTCCGAGCGTGTAGCGCTAGAGGAACATGCCAGAGAAACTGTGTCCTTGTTGTCGGCCATTTTGGAACGCGGTAACATTCATTTCGACGGGCGAGTGGCTTCTTGCGCTGAGCCAAAATGAGTGTAGTTTCTCTCTCTCGCTCGCTCTCTCGCTCGCTCCCCTACCCATACACCTCAAGATTCAAACAGAAGGCTGTGTGGTGCATTTAATCTGCAGAAAAAGCAAGCCAGCATAGATTTACACATTGAGGCAATGTTGCGATGGAGCACAGCTGTCACTATCATTTTTAAGACAATTTATGGAGACTGCGTTGCATGACAACTAATTAAACTACCCAATACGGTTATGTCTCCCAGTATGTGACAGATGTCATTGATGCCAGTGACTAAAGATATTCGTTCATTAATGAACTGCTCACATGTTGAACGGGCATGCTTTCCCTTCTGATGCTCCTTGGACAGCCCTGCACCTGGCGCCCCTCGCCGCCATTCGGTTTCACCGCAGTGTCCACATGAGTCTCGATCGCTAGTTTCGCAGCATGTCGATGATGCCCAGCGCTTCTCGCCGTGGTAAAGTGTGATGCAGGGGTTAAATTCATTTGAGTGAGTCAGAGGGAATATCTTTTTTTCTTTTCAATCGAAGCTCTGACGTTAGTCCGAGCGTGTAGCGCTAGAGGAACATGCCAGAGAAACTGTGTCCTTGTTGTCGGCCATTTTGGAACGCGGTAACATTCATTTCGACGGGCGAGTGGCTTCTTGCGCTGAGCCAAAATGAGTGTAGTTTCTCTCTCTCGCTCGCTCTCTCGCTCGCTCCCCTACCCATACACCTCAAGATTCAAACAGAAGGCTGTGTGGTGCATTTAATCTGCAGAAAAAGCAAGCCAGCATAGATTTACACATTGAGGCAATGTTGCTCATTCAGTGCAGTCCAAATTAAAATTTCAGTCAGCAACAGGTAGCCTACATAAAATAAAATAAAAACTTGAACGGTTAATGTGAGCGTAAAATGATGACAGTGCCTAATATGAATATTTTATTTGGTGTTATAATTTTCACTGCAGCAAAAACCGCAGACAAGTAGGCTAGCTTTCAGCTTTTACATAAATTTTAGGATGTTCCGTGTGCTGAATCACTCTCATGCTCTCACTGCTTTCAGCATCCACATTTAACCATCCATTTTTTTTTCTTACTTTCTTCCACCCACATGTCCTGCCCTCTCTTTCAGCTTAACTGTGTGTGAGTGAAAGGGATGTGCTAAGCACATGCAGGAAAAGGAGACCGCTATGTTGTGGTTTACTTTACCATTAGGGCTTAATTTATCTATTTTAATAGCAATAAGAATCCAGTGATGCCACGTTAAGGGTATAATTATGCTTCTGTCAACAGTTTCTCAATTGAATCCACCAATACAGTGCAGTGTGACATGCATAAACTCATGCTAGCTGTGTTGTACACCCTAGGGTGTGTCTCAATCAGCTCCCTAGTTCAGTAGTCAAGTGAGGCAGACATTTCAAAGACTGTTCCACTGTCAAAGTCAATCCAGTGATAAATTCCCACAAAAAAACTAGTAAGCATGATTCTCAAAAATGCTGTTTAGGTAGGCAGCTCACTGGTTTTTGAAGACACTCTGCTGACTTCTGGGTCCAGGATTAATCTTTACCCATGGCATTCTGCGTCACTGCTCACCAGCTCATTCTATGCCCTCTTCTTAAAGTTCATGGAAAACGTGCTTGTGTGTGAGAGTCTGCGCTCTGCACGGGTGAATTGGGCACACTTCGCTCATATAGAGCATACTGATATCCACTGTTTATGTAAGAGGTGCATGCAGAGGAGAAAAGAATTGCTGAGGGGGAAAAAAAACGATTGATGGAGAGAAATCCATTTAATTTCTTACACTCCCAAACAGAATCCTTAATTATTCAACTGCATAATTCTCTGTGCATTTTGATTCATCTTCATTGTAAATTTATCTATCCAAATGCAATCTTGAATGTAGTTTCGCCCTCTTTTTTTGGTATTCCTTTTCTTTTCATCCCCTTACATCCTTCATGTTTTTCATCTCTATTGCGCTTTTTTATGTCTCTGACACCAGTCATAAAAAGAAAGTTGGAGAACATTGTGAAGATCTGAGCTTCAAAACTACTGTCATGTTTTCAACCCTCCCCATCTCTTCCTCTCTCTCCCCACAGGGCAACCACAGCGTTTGTGCTCTCACACTGAGCTTTCTATTCCCTCTTAAATGCTTTAGGAACACTTCCTATTCTTTAACTATTCATTCACAAGAAGCAGCATGTTATATAAGGAGCTTCCTCAACATGTCAAATCGGTTTTACAGTTGATCTGATATTTGCTCTGCAGCTGTGGTGGCTTTATGTGGTCTGGTCCAATTGTTGTCTCATTCTGACAGTGACATTAGCGCTTAGATAGCAGTGGCCGCGCTCCATTAAACAAAGGGCAGGAGGGAGGATTCGACATGGAACAATAGTTGGTTTGTAACACTAATGAAGTCACATTCCAACATGTGCCGCAATTTTATCTTTTGTGCTTACAGAACTGAAGGCTATCATTAACGTCTGGATGGAAAGAGATGAGAGAACGAGTGTGTATTTTCTTCAAGGTTGATGGCATCATATCGCACAGCACTTCACTAGAGACAAACCTGAGCTGTGACATTATTAAACAGGGAAAACCTCCATTTTACACATTTACAAATCCTTCAAAATGAGAATAGGCACTGGTAGAACACCTACTGTAATATAATAAAGTTTCATTGATGAACAAAATATTAGCAAAATGGGAAAAAATGTCATTTTGTCAGAATACCCAGCAAATTGTGAGACATTAATGAAAGACACTTTTTAGATCCAGACAGAAATTATATCTGCCTTCCTCAATACCTGATCAACAGCCTAGCATGCTATCATGATATCTTATTCAAGATAATCAGTAACGAGCTTGGCTGCATATGAATATGCATACTTAACTTAGTATGGTGAAAACAGTAAAAAAAAAAGTCTGAATTCACAGTATTCATAAAACAGTAAGCAAAAAGTACACAGACTGCTGTGACTTCCAGTGAGATTCTGAAGAGCAAATCGAATTTCATTTCATGCTATCCCATGAGGCCACGGGAGAGGAGCTCTGAAAAAGTGCGCTGTAGGTCATACGACAAAGACAACATGACGGATCCAAAATTACTATATACAACATACTTTTTAAAGGCTGCAAAGCACTTGTACAGTACAAAATAAGTACCTACAGTACTCAGAAAGTATGCAATTTTGGTAAGTATGCAAAGCGCTATGATAATTTTGTTGGCTAAGCTGTTAGCGTGCTAAATAAAGAACAAACTAGTAAAATAAGGAAAATTAAATTCTTAATTTGACCATTTTAGCTATGTAATTTAAAAGATGTTTGTTATGATTAAGACTAAAAATTTATTTCTAATCACTGAATAAAGCATGCTAACCAGCCAACTCCTGAAAATTGTAAATTGCAAATGGAAATAGGACATGAATTTACAATGGACTACAAAAACATTCTCATTTCTTAGGGTCCACCACCTGCCACTGACACACATACAATATACAGGCTAACTGCATAATGCGCAACGTATCAGAGACGCTGTAATATACAGCCCTTGTGTACATGCACTTATCGCCGATTATACTTCATATGTGAGTGACACAAACCCTCCTCCTCTCATCTGAAGCAGCCTGTAGCTTGCTGATTAAAAAGGTCAACATGACATTTCCCTGGTGCTCAACATCCAGCCCCCTTCTGCTTCCCTGAGCAGCACACATGCACGCCCCAGCAACTTGTCGGTTTTTCAGGCATATGTTACATGCGCTCTAAAAATAAAGATGTCGTGATCTATCAGATGCATATTATTGACTCTTGTCAGCTGATACATGTTTAAATCAGGGGATTAAAAAAAATCTGCTTCTCAAAAATGACCAAATTCTCAATGTTATCTGAGTTTTCCCATATGCTGGGGCAAAATAGAGGGTGGAAGGATGAGGCACAGCAGCCCCTGTTCGCCCTCCCGTTTCATAGTTAACATGGTGTAGGGCATGGTGTATAATTAGTGAGAGCAATTAGAATAGAGAGAGAGAGAGAGAAGGCTTCTACTGTTATTCCCACAGGCCTGCTCGCACTCTGAAGAGACAAGTGTGATAATCATATTTTCAAATGTATTTTGATGAATGCTAGTATGTGCTTTTGGAACAAGACTCAGTAGAGAGAGAGGAAAAAAAAAATTTGTTCCAACTCATGCAGCTGCATGAGTACCGAACCTTTGATCATGTAAATTTGTATTGTGAATTAATGAACACAACAGTTGTTGTTTTTTTCAAAACCTGGTGTGGTACCTAGATGTTTAGCATTTTTACAACAACATAAGTATTCTTGTATCCTTCAGCTACTAGACAATTTTAGTATGTATACTCAATGAGTTAAGAAAAAATATCCGAGATGGTGGAGGACAGAAGCGCAGAATATAAATACAGTTTATGTATATTTTACTTAACACCCTGTTGAAAAAAACAGCATATGCTGGTTAGGTATGTTTTGACGCTGGGATGCTGGTTTAAACTGGTCCTTTGCTGGTTTAAGCTGGTTTATGCTGGTCCTTTGCTGGTTTATGCAGGTCCTTTTGCTGGTTTATGCTGGTCATGTGCTGGTTTAAACTGGTCCTTTGCTGGTTTAAGCTGGTTTATGCTGGTCCTTTGCTGGTTTATGCAGGTCCTTTTGCTGGTTTATGCTGGTCATGTGCTGGTTTAAACTGGTCCTTTGCTGGTTTAAGCTGGTTTATGCTGGTCCTTTGCTGGTTTATGCAGGTCCTTTTGCTGGTTTATGCTGGTCATGTGCTGGTTTAAACTGGTCCTTTGCTGGTTTAAGCTGGTTTATGCTGGTCCTTTGCTGGTTTATGCAGGTCCTTTTGCTGGTTTATGCTGGTCATGTGCTGGTTTAAACTGGTCCTTTGCTGGTTTAAGCTGGTTTATGCTGGTCCTTTGCTGGTTTATGCAGGTCCTTTTGCTGGTTTATGCTGGTCATGTGCTGGTTTAAACTGGTCCTTTGCTGGTTTAAGCTGGTTTATGCTGGTCCTTTGCTGGTTTATGCAGGTCCTTTTGCTGGTTTATGCTGGTCATGTGCTGGT